GAGAGGAGAACCTCTCTCTTTCTCTCTCTCTCTGTCTCGACGAGAAACCGCGTCAACAGAGGTGAATTTCGACGGACCGAGAATACGCGTTCACGCGCGATACCGATAGACTCTTGCTCTTATTCACCGTTTACATGTGCTCTGTGTTCCTTTGGGGACGATGTGGACGGAGTGGCGACGGTGCAACCTGCCGGGCAGGACGGGGGATACTGCGACACTGACGGTAGCGCCTTCTATCGGCCAGCCTTTGCCATCCATCCCTCGCTGCGCGCACCCATCGCGGCACCCATGGCTGCTGTATCTCTCTCTGTTTGATAAACAGTGCCTCTCGGCTTGTGTGTCCCGTTTCTCTGGCTGTCTTTTACCATCTCACTGGGATATGTGTGTGTGTTTGTATCTGTCTTTGTCCGATAACGAAGCTTAGTCTTGTCTTTCTCTATCTTCACGCTCGTTTCTGAAGTTATCTCTCACCCTCTAGGTAGGGTGTGTTTGTACCTATCTTTGTCCGATAAGGGAGATACGTCTTGTCTTTCTCTATCTTCATACTCGTTTGTGAGACTGCCTTTTGCGCTCTGTTACGAGAACGTGCTTGTGCATCTGTCTCACTTCAGGGTGAAGGGGTTGCTTGACTCTATCTACCACTCCTCTTTCTCCCTCTGGTCTATTTCTCTTCTTTTTTTTACTTCCTCCTTTTGCTTTTTTCGGTTGCTTTATTTTATCGTATCGCCTCGGTCCCTGGCGAGGATGTTCGTTCTCCGAGTATATGGATTGCTACTTTCTTGATTGCAGGTGGAGGGAGGAAGAGGAGGTGTGTTTTTGTGAGGGTTTCTTTTGTTGTTCTGTTTCGCCGTGGTTACATTTCGAGTTCTGTCTTGTTTCAACGGAATAGTCGTTTCGCCTGGTCGTGTATATTTTATCGGGAACCAATGTGGAGGGATTCTGCTTCTTCGTGATTTTATTTTGCGCAGCACTGGGTTCGTTTGTTTTTTCTTTCCGGTTCGATCGAGATGCCGGTCGAACGAGAACGATGGAGAATGGGTTAGGTAGTTGCCCTTTAGGTTTCGAGGGGATGTTTTTTTCACGGGTCAGAGATAACGGGTAGCGGTCAGGTGGAGTGGTTTTCACGAAACGACACGATTACCCTATTACGCGCTCCGATAATTCGATGCAAAGAATGAAATTTCGAGCGAGCGAGGTGTCGCGTGTGGAAATGTTACAATATAGCATCTAAGGGCAATAAACCTAATTTGTGTAATTTATCATTTACGATACTTGCAATATTTCGATTTTCTCTCAAATATGTAAATTCGCTAAAATCTCGAATCAATCATAATTTTCTCATTTTTCCCAATTTCAACGATTCACTTTCGTTCTTTATTTCATGCGTAAAACGAAATCTTACGGAAACAGCAATGCAAAATTCCCGTGTTTCCCGATGGGAAACAAATGATTCCACGGTTACAATGGAATATTTCTACGGTTATTAAGGGATCCCCCAAGATCGGATCCCTTTGTCGCCGGCAACAATAGGCGTGTCTTTAATTCACCGTAATAGTTTCCGCGACATCATCGTAATATTGTTTGAGACGGGGCTGGAAAAAACAGGCGCAGTATCGGTTATCGATATTGGCGGCTTCGAGTTTGCCCGACGTAAATAGCTTTAGCAACGATGATGAGCTTCACCGATTGAATGTCGAAGCGAGGAAAACCTCCCACCCCCACCATCCCTATCTGCCAGTCTAAATGCATTTCGGACTGGCTCTCTTTTCGTCTGTACAAAGGCAAATTTTTATCTCGATAGGATGAAAGGGGGACCACGTATCAGCAATTTCCGTGACAAATTGACAATAAGGAGAGTGAAATGCCATAAATATCGAGGATCTTCCAAATTTTTCGAATTCGTCACAACTGCTGGAACTATTTACTCTTTACTCGAAAATTAACTTCAATTCTGAGAGACGGAGGAATATAATTTCAGAAAAAAATAAGCACACTGACTTGGTATTTCTTTTTTTTATTAATGTGGTGTCAAAAACACGCCCCAAAATTTCGTATAAATATAGATATTCGAGAATTAATATTAATTCTGAGAGACAGAAAATTATAATTTAATAAAAAAAGAAAATATACATTGACTTGGTATTTCTTTTTTTTTTCTTAATATGGCGCAAAAAACATGTCCCAAATTTCGTATAGATATTCGAGAAATAGAAAAATTCTGAGAAACAGAAGACTATGTTTTCATTAAAAAAAAAAAATAAATACATCGACTTGGTATTTCTTTTTTGTATTAATATGGCGCAAAAGCATGTCCCAAATTTCATATAAATATACATACTCGAGAATTAATTTCAATTCTGAGAGAGAGAAAATGCAAGATTTGTAAAAGAGTGAATGCACGGACTTGGTATTTCCCTTTTTTATTCACACGGTGTAAAAGAGAAAGAACGGTTATGATTGCCCTAAATTTCGCGTAGATATGCAGACAGGATATTATTCTTCTTCAATTTTAAGCCACTTGGTGGGGCACTAAAACGGCAGATCCTCCGGGTAACCACGTAATTGCGCTACTTATGGACACAACGTTGAACATCTTTTAAATTACCCGGCATTTTCCCGGGGTCTTATGATCTTTTATCAGTGATAAATTCCCCTTCTTAAAGTCTGGCCGCGTCGTCGTATCGCGCGAAGCGATAAAAGTACCGTAACTGCGGTCATATGTATTGATTATGAAGAACTGTCTGCTAGTTTTGTATGCATGTGCTTTCGAAAACTCGGTTACGAGGGAACTGGCGTATCTACTTACCCGTATATACGCATCCTCGAGTGCTTGTACCCAATTAGAAATCTCTATTTTTAACGTAAAACTGTCGTAACACCCATCCTTCTCGTATTTTCTAACAAAAAAAATCCTAATAACATTCGCGAAAAATGTCTTACAAATGTATTTTTCCATTTAATAAACCAAACGAAATTTAACTGAATTAAAATTATCTTAAAAATATACACTATCCCGTTCCTAAGTATCACATTCATCCGTCTACATTTCTCTCTATTTACTCGAAGATGTGGTAAATCTTTCAAAAGAGTCGCACATTTTTTAAACAAATTAAATCCTCCACTTCCTCCTTCCAAGCTTTTCATCGAAATAAAGAACACGGTGAATAAATAGATACAGAAGTACGACAGTTTAGCTCTATCAAAGTACGTCCCACCCAAATTTTTTAATTTCAATCTGTTCGTTAATTCTTGCTCTTCGAGAACGAGCGATATTTAACAATTTTCCTCAAACTCACAGTCCAAAGAGCCACCGCCACTAGAAAGCAGAAAATCTCGAGACATTCGACCCTCGACCAGTCAATAAGTTGGCGAAGGTATCCGTCGTTATTTGAAAACAAGGAAATTGTTTAAAGGCCGGCGCGGCGTCAAGTGGCTTCCCCATCCATTCATCCGTCCAACCACCCATCCATCCATCCTCGACTGAGGTGCAGAAGCAATGACGAGAGCGTGCAAAGTATAAGTCGACACTTGATCTTCGACGAGAACTTTGCTAGAAATCTTTGTTCCCCGGAGTGCGAGTGTCAACGGCTCTCTGTCTCCCCTCGAGTGACACGAGTGTTATAAATTATTCGGTGGCCTGCCGCGAAGCATGATATCGATTCCCTGTGCCGTTTACTACCCGCCACGTTTCTCCACCGGCCATATTTACGCCTCGTTCAATTTTAATTAACACACTGCCGGTACGTTGCGAGAAGAAAATACAGGTCGACCCACGTTGAACCGCGAAACATCTACGAAAAATGATCTACCGCCTCGGCAATTTACCGGTTTATCAGAAGTTTCCTCTGGGGGAAAACTGTTTTTCTATATTTCGCGAATTTTTTTTTTAAGGGTAGAAAGTGTGTGCTTGCGGCGATACGTGTAGAATCGGCGTGAATTTGTGAAAATCTCCGTGGGTGCAGGGGATTCCCGCCCCACAAGACTGCGGCGCAGACTGATTGGCGCCAGTCAGGGCCGTGTTACCACGGGGTGTCATGATAAACACCGTACCACCCGCTACATGACTGGCAGGCGTGCTAAGAATTTGGTTCGAGGGCAAACGCGTTGTTCTTTCGCAGCCTAGAAACGATACGCAGTCGTACTGTGGCATTATTCTTTTAAAAAAGAATACTTCCTTCTTCGTCGTACAGATACAATCGTAAATAAATAACACGAGGTATATTTCCTTTGAAATAATGAAATTCCCTTCAGAGAGAGAAATATCGTCGTATTATAAATTCGAACGACCTACATCGAAATTCGTCTTTTTCCTCTCTTCGAATGAAATTTCATAGCAAATATAGTCCGCGTATATCATCCTCTTTCCATCATACGTCTCTTTCCTCGAATAAAAAGGAACCTTCTATAATGGCGACCCTCAACTTTCCTCTTAACTTATTCTAGAAACGAGTCGATGTGTTACTTTTCTACAGAATCAGTAGAACAGGTCGTCTAGTGTCAGACCACTGAGAAAATACCCAGTGCTGTAACAACAAGCCTCGAATAACGAAATTTCCTGCGGGGCAAAACCAGTTCAATCGCACTGAAACCCAGCAGAGAAATTTGCTATATTCAGTGGAATAACCTGGCATGTGTCAGACTGCTGTGCGTGTCGATTAAACGAGGCCGCAGTGGAATAGCTCGGCAATAAGCGAACAAATGCAGTTCGACCGGTTTCCTCCATTAATAAACCAACCTTCGAGCTAATAAAGTCATTCCTACCGCCTACTGTCTCATTAAAACGTTACATCAATCCTGCCATCGTAACGCAACACCGGTGGAGAGAAAATGCTACGGGAAACAAGAAGAGAAACCTCGAACGGGAGAGACGAATTAAAAGTTTCCCCGGGCAAACAATCGAACCTGATAGAAGTCAAGGAGAAAGAAACGACGACCATGGAGATTTCTGACGTCCGTGGGTGAGAGAGAGAAGAAAAAAAAGAAAAAAAAACGAAAGAAACTTGGGTGACGTGACTCTGTTAAGAGAGTCGCGAGACCTTCTTTTCATGTTTTATTCCGCCTGGTGAAAGTTCCAAGGCGAGATCAGACTTGCGATTTGCATAGAAATACGCAGCATCTTTCGTCCAAGTTTTCCATAAGTCGATACTCGCTGGTAAAGATCGCAGATTTTTCACGGGGATTTCTTTTTTCCTTTCGTTCTGCAAGAGGGTGATTTTGGCTTACCTGAGCTACCTTTTCTCCCATGTTCGACGTGTGCATCGCGCCCTGGAAGTATTTCGCGGACCCGTTGTCCTGCAAGGAAAACTGAAATACGAAATGAAAGAGTTAAAATTGAGGAACACTTTGTTTCTTTTTTTTTTTTTGGTTTGTTTAAAAAATTCTATTATATCGTAGAAGTATTTGGAAGAAGGTTAAATGGGCGTTACCAACTGCTTACTTTGTGTTTGATGGAATCCGGCCCCATCTGGCTTAGGGATGGCGACTTCCGGTCTTTGGACGTCCGCCATTTTTGCAAGTCACTTTCGGACGCAACGCCAGGAAAGATTTTCGAATGTTTAGTTGCTAGAAACACAAATGCCTCTGTTAAATTCCACGGTATTACCACGATGCGATATAATCACGATATGTTCGTTTAAACCTAATTAATCGTTTACAAAAAACTATTACGTGTGAAATACAGGCTCGATTAAATCAAAACTATAATCCAAACCACAGTGTGTTTCTGGAAATAATTGGTAGATAACGTGATTAATCTGGCGTTACTATTTATCGTTCGCGCCGAACATCGGTGCACAATTTACATTTTTTGGGGGGCGCAAGAGGTGGAAGAAGGTTGGAAGAAGAAAAAAAATACAAAAAAAAAATTGATCGAACTATATGTGTATTTATGTACGAATGTTGGTAGAGATGACTCGAATGAACAAACTCTTTAGGGAAACACCAATTTACCACACACGCGCTAATCTAAATGTAAGAGAAGAAAAAAAAGATATTACGGTGTGATGACGAAAGCACACAGATATATATGTATGTGTACATATATAATCTTGATAATAAATCGATGCTATTTTACAGATCAAATGGTTCATTACTGACAAGTGTGAACACTAAGGTAAAGAAAAATGGTGGCTAACGTAGAGCCTACTGACGGGGTGTAGTTAATATTGGAGAGAAACGAAATAGAAATGAGAAATGAAAGAACAAAACCGAGCCTATATCTCGATCTAAAAGCGTTAAGAACAAGTGTGTCGTTAATTAACGGGTTAGTCAATTCGCACTATAGAAGCTGCATACCTGTGAAAGAAAGATCGTTTAAAATGTATTCAAATGTAGAAAAGAGACCGTGTAAATTATTCGTAAAGATGGCGATGCGACAATTGCTACGCTCAGGTAGTAAGTATGTATAGAATATTTTATTCGGAACATTTATTTACGTGTATATAGATATATATATATATAGAGGGAAATGTGGGGATCGTTTCGATGATGATTTGTACAATGATAATCGTGGTGATTATTGTCGTTGATTTCTGCCTTCGTAGACCGTTTTTTTTTTTGCTGATTTCAAGGCGATTTTCGTGTTAAGATCTCGAGACAGAGAAGAGAGAAAAGCTGTGTGTTGAGATTGTCAGCCAAATTGTTTGCCCCATATCGTGAACAAGAAGCGTAATTAATTGGTTCGTCTCTCGTGCCTCGGTCAGCCGTGATATTCCACAGAATTCATCTTGATAGGTAGCCTAATAATTTTACACTCTAATTATCATCGATTTCTTATCAAAAATAGTGTTGTCAAATTTAAAAAGGAAAGGTATTTAAACCTGAAAATATTCAGGAGATCTCATCTTCTAATTTTCTATCAAAAATTCTGATTAGTTATACGAAAACGAAGGTCCTCCAATTATATATTTAATACAGTCGCTTAATTTCGAAATTTTTTTATCAGAAAAAGTGTCAGGGCCGAGAAGCTGTTACCAGCTGGACTGGAATTAAATTCCGTGAGTACTGAACGGCTGACCGAGCGATGCTAAGGTGCTCGTCTTGTAAACAGTACGGCGTAGATAAAGATACGAGAGATGTAGGCAGGTAGGTAGGATGGAACGATCTGTGACACGTTTCACGGATGACAAAGTATACGAAGGGTGATACAACCGAGAAGACGATCGAACGACATTTTCTCACGAGTCACTTCAAATTCAATTTTCTCGAAAAATTAAGCTACTCACGAAAAAAGAATCTGTTCAAGTTTGCACAACATCGTACAATCGCTCGCTGCCCGATTGTAACACCCGTTCCTTAAACACCCTGTATACATGAAGAGAGAATGTACACAAGTAGAATAGAGATGGTGGTTGTGGTGGTGGATAGGCGGTATATAATAATAATAAAAAAGAAAATAAAGACAGGCCTATGAAAGCTGAATCGGACAACGGTACGTTATCTCTTGGAAAAAAAGAAGCTCATGACCAAAAAAATTGTATAAGCCGCAAGCGCTTGGTAAGTTGTAAAAAGGGGTGCAAACTCGCCGGCGCTCGGTCGGTTAAAAGAAAAAAAACCAAAAGGGGTGGCAGACGGGCTGCACCATCCTGTTTTACCTTCCGTGAGATTATCGACTGTCGCTGGTCGTCGCTCGAGGGTGACGTGTTCGCTCCCTCGGCCCGCTACTAAAATACGTTCACTCTGGTTTGACTTTTGGATATACAATTCAGTCAGGCCTGATCCGTACGGAGGGTTTCTTTTCGTTTTTTCATTACGTTTTTTTTTTTGTTTTTGTTTACTTTTGCACGGATAATTTTTAGATCTACGTTGTTTGGAAGAACAAAGAAAACGGGGGAAAGAGAGATATACAGTGATCGACGGGAACGGACGCGCGGCGTTCCTTCGAACGCTGTCGTCGAGACGCTCTACGGGGTGGTAAAGAGGGGTTGCTCTCGGTCAGCAGGCGCCAACTCGCGTCACTCGAACGAGACACGACTCGCGCGCGGCTCTTTCGACTTTCGAGCTTTTCTCGCACGTTGACAGATAGCGATTCGACAGTCCGATTTTTTTTTCGTTTTTAATTTGGGGCTGTTTTGGGGACGGTAACGTTACTTATGGATAGAAAAATGAGAATATCGATGGAATATTCAATGGGCAACGTAGCACTAAATTTTGGAATTGAAATAGGGGTGAGAAAATGTTACTCTACGTTTCCTTCCACTTATTTTTTCACGAAGATTCACCCCTTTCCAAGTTACATTGTCCAGCTCGAAGACAGTCTGTGTTATGTTAATAATAATTTTGCAACGATTGGTAGGGTTGTAATTTCGAGCGATCAGAGAAAAATCAATTAGAAAATGATCGATCATTGAACGAAATTAAAGCGACCATAAACTCTCTCCCGAGAAGCTCCATCATGAACGTGTACAGCGATAATTCCGGCACGTGAAAGCCCCTTACCAGAGAACGGAGGGACACGCGCGGTCGCTATCTGTCAACATTCGCGACACGAAACATCGCATGCGGCAGCATTATCTTCTATGTCGTTAATTGCGATTTCGCCGCAATACTACGCGCGCATCCGCATTCGACGCTCGATCTTCTGCGAAGCAAATAAATCTACCAGTCGCACTCTCTCTCTCTCTCTATCCTTCGATTGTGCATCGAAGAATTCGAGACTCTTCCATCCCACGAGACGTCGCTCGTGTTTCAGGAAAGCGAAGGGAAAAGAAAAGAAAATACGAACAAACTCAGTCAAACTTCTCTTTCTTCTTTCCAATCTATCACTTTATTTAAAAAAAAAGCAAAAAAACACAGAATGAAAACTTTGACACGCGGGGCGAATGCAACACCTAAGTGGTCATCGGCCGTTCCACAGAAAAAGCTCGAGCTAAATACGATCAAAGAGGCAACCCACGAAATATACCGAGAATCAAAGGAAATAAAATAGAAAAAAAAGATATATTTATGTAAAAGAAAAGAACAGAAAAAGAAGGAGCTAACGAGCAAAAATCGATTTGGACGTTCAACTACTTACAAACGCTGCAGGTGAGGCTGCGACACGGCGCCCTCGCCGCTTCCGGTTTCACCGCCCTCCTCGAGATCGCGTCCAGGCTCGCCGCGTGTGACACGCTTCGTGACGGTCCCTCTGCTCCTCCAGTCGATGAAAAATTCCCACCCTCCCAGATCCCGGACTTTTGCGAGACCTGAAACGGAAAGGTAAGAAACGGTGGAGCAATACTCTCTCTCTCTCTTGGCTACCCTTGACTCGGACTTCCGTTTCACGTGACACGCCGGCTGGAATATCGTTAACATCGCCGTACACTCTCCTGCGACACACGATCGATACCGGACGTGTTTTGAAGCGGGTGCACGCGATCAGGCTGAATTTACCCGGTGAACAGGGAGGGTGGGGGGATGGTTTCGGGGTTGAGGGCATGGTTTAAGGCTAAGGTGAGTATGTGATGGAGGAAGATATTGGGAGTTGCTGTATTATTCTAGGAATAAGGTGGACACCTTTCTTCGGTTGTTTCACTTGGAAGGGAAACGAATGCGAAATAGTGAAACGTTGCAAAAATTTGTAACACCTTCTGCAACACGTGCCTGAATTTTATATTTTTCCAAAATTATGCATCTAGTGAAAATTCTAAAAAATACAAATTCCTCGTGTGATTTCCCGCACACAAATTTACATGCAAATCAGTTAACGCTTAGGTATAATAATGATAAAAAAAAGCTTGTCTTAATGCATTTATTAACAGATGATTGTTTAACATTCATATACGATCGAATTCTTCGATTGAAAGGGGAAGTCTAATTCCCGAGATATCCCAGAAAACACGTTTCCAACCGTTGTGAGAAACGAGGAAAAGTGGAGAAGTTGTGCGAATATGAAAATAAATCCAGCCGTACGAAGATCTTTCTTGCAGCGATTGCGGTTGACAAATGGCAAAAGTGATACGGGGGAAATGGCGTTGACAAGATCGGTGGCGGCTAGAGAGGTCTTTAAAATTCGAGGATGCTCGTGGGAACGGCCGATATTCCGGATATGTTCCGGTGATTCAGTTAGCCTGGGCTCGATAGCGCGACCAACGTCCATTACGGCCGACCATCGGGGATGCTTGTGAAATTGAAACGGGTGGAAGGAGTAGGCGCGACGGGTGGTTTCATCCGCGATACCCTCACAAAGACCCCTCTACATACGCTCCAATTGTACCAGCTTAGATGTGCGCCATTAGGCCGACCTTTGCATGACACCATAACCTTGCATTTCGCGTGGCACGAGTATCTCCGCTCTCGTGCTTCTCAACCCTTTTACCGCAGATTGTTCTTTTCATTCGTGTAAAGAAAATCGTGTCCATTAGGTGTAGGAATTCTCGGTACGGTCAAAGTTTCACTCGAAAAGAACGAAAACAGAGATCGATCGTCGAAATAATTTCCATCGCTGTCGATTACCTTTCGCCATTTTTCTTGAGAAACTCGACGAATGAATTATGCGAACTCATTTCTACACCTGATACTAAAGACACTCTACTTTTTCCTTTTTCCCTTCTCTCCTTTTCAAGTAGCAATCCTCGAGAGTTAACCCTTTCGTCACGAAAGGAGTAATTGCCAAGTGAAAAATCGTATGGAACTTCTTTTTCTTTTCTTTTACTTTTTCAGGAGCTTTTAGGGGCATTTTATTTAAGCTTTTCCCTACTTACGTCGCTCACCCCCTCGGGACTGGCAATCGGCGCGGTGGTGCTGGTCTGTGCAACGTTTGCGGTTGCTGCAGACGTTGCACCACCATTGTTGCTCCCAGCTGGCGGGGGTGGAAGAGCAGGCGGGGGCGTGCCAGTCCTCCCAGGACCCCAAGATTCCATCATTGTAGGTGAACCACATGTTAGTGGGCTGGAAAATATAGAAGTTGGTTCCATTAGAGACGAAAGGCAGGACGTATACTGCCCACGGATATACTCGAAAGTACTCCTCTTTATATTCGTTTAACCCTTTTTCCGCCACAATTATCTTCCCCGAAAATTTCCCTTTAATTTTCGTCGCCTAACCTGAGTTATCGGTAATTTTGCGATACAATCGATCGCACGAGAAGAAGTTTGTTCGAAGAGATATTTAAAGAACATCGGAGATTCCGTCGATGTCGAGGAAGGTTCAATTGATATGCGAAACGGAATAATTCAGATGTTTCTCCGGGAGATATGTGTACGTCTTCGAAAATTCATACGGGGAAAATAGCTGTATTCTTTGCACGTACTTCTCCGGGAGTTCGATTTTCATCAGGCAAAAGGAAAAGAAAGTGGTTCAAGTGTTTTTAGAGAAATTTTCGAGAGAATTTCGTGTATTATTTACAAATCGGTAGCGAGGTATTCTTTATTCAAGGAGCAAATAAACTTATCGAGATTATCTAGATTATCGAGAAAATTGTCTGGATTATCTGGATTATTAAGATTATCTGGATTTTCTAGGTTACCTAGATTACTCGCATTAAAGTTTAACGTTTGCACCATTGTCGCGTTCGGCCAAACTTTCTGTCCATCGATGCAGGTGAAAAGTGTACACAGGTCTGTGGAAATATTACCATGTTAATCTGTACGATTATCGGTTAATTTCAAGTTACTGCAATTGTGCAAGAAGCGAGATAGGAGTAGGACCTAGGACTGTTATCGTCTCCAATCTCAACTGGTACGATACAACGGTAAATCAAACGTGAGCACAAGTTTCCGTTACAAATTTATTAAAAAAAAAAAAAAGAAGAACAACGAATAAAGATTGAGAGAAAAAAACGTCCATCTTTCCATCGAAAAACATGAACGTCAGGTGATGCATTTTTGACAGATTCACGTAGAAATTCCATCAAAGGATAACACGACACGAAGCGTAAAATGCATCAAGAACAACGTTGATATCTCCCTCTGCTCCGTTGAAACATTCAAGCAACCTTCGTTCCCTCGAAATCCAGCCTTTACAACAGCCACGACTGTTGCTTTATTCAATAACATTGACCGTAACACGTCGTCGTCGACGACACTGTGTTCCATCGCGGAGACGCGGCTTCCTGTGACCGATAATCGAAGTCGACGCCGCGACGCACGGTGCTTCGAAACAAAACTACATCTCATCTTGGAAGATCGTTGAGAAAAAATGAAATTACTATTACGACTTTTTCGAAGGAGAAAAATTCTAATCGCTCGGATTGCAATATTTCGATTCGATCGGATAGAAACTATCGCAAAGTTAAATCGAGTCGATCGAATTCTAAGTAGTGAAATTTCAAAATTTCGAAAAACGGTAAAACGTCAGACAGCTGTTTCGGAACAGCGCACGACGTCTCCTCTAATCTGGAGAATGGACGAAAAAGGGAACAGCGATAAATTGTGGAAATCCTAAGATTATGGGAGAATGGTCGATACGGAACAGAGGTCAGACTTGTCGAGTGAAGTGTGTCAGTGTTAGGTCAGACTTGCCAATCGATACAGAAGCTGACGAGCCGCAACGTGATACAAAGGGAAACATACGTGTGGAACTGTAGTGTGAACTGGACGGTGTTTGGTTAACCTCCAACTGGTTTAAGTATACTCGCCGAACGGATAAGTTTCCGCAGACAGCTTACCGAGTTGAAGACGTTGGACAGTGGCGCGGAGAGAACGTGAGAAGTTTCGCTTGGGACTTTTCAAGCTGTTAGGTTTCTTCGCGCAAAAATTAGAGAAGTTTTGATGGAATACGACGACGCTACTGTGGAGATTTCAATAAGAAGAAGAAGACGGTCTAGTTTAAGCTTGAAAATTCTGCTGGAATAATATGTTCATCCTTTCGGAATTAATCTTACGTGAAACTGTTTTTTAAGGATCTTCGAGTGAACACGGTTAATTTCAGAAATTCCACAAAGATCAATTATTCGTCTGCGGATGTTTCTCACAAACGACCGCAATCTGTGAAACACCCTGTATAATGCAAGCCTTTTTACGAGCACAGGGCGGACATTTGTCGCGTCATTTGCCAAGGAACGTCACCGAAACATCTCCGATAATTGAGCATGAAAAGCAGCAGCGTTGCAGGAAACACTGGCCGCGTTAACCCGAAAATCACGAAAGGGGTTGCTTAATTTCACGGAAATTCCAAACGTCTGTGTGTGTGTGTGTGTGTGTGTCGCTCTGTCTGGAAAAATGTCGTCATTGGAAGGGATACAGGAAAAGGCTGTATTGGCGTTGTTAGAGCGGTCCACAAGTTCAGGGTAGTTTCGTTTGGAACGTTTCCAACCATTTCGAACGCGTAATGAGAATTTCCCTCGCCCATGGCTCTTTCTCTCTTTCACTCGTAACGATACGTCCGTCGACACACATATATCAAGGGTGGGTAGGGGGAGAAAACAAATCAACCCCCTTCGACGACCCTTTTTCCCAGTAACAGAGCGCTTGGTACTCGTCTGAACGGCCATTTCTATGCATCGAGGGCTCGAGAAAAAGGAAGAATCCTCGTCGTGATTTCGTTCGATCGATCTTCGCGAATCTTCGTGTCGCGACACTTTGTCATCGCTTATTTACGAACGACAGAGGAGAGATAGAGAGATAGAGAGAAAGAGAGAGGGAGGAAAAATACAGAGATCAATCGAAAGATTTTCGATATCCGTTGCCAAGTGTTTGTTGCACGAGCCTTCCTCCATCGGTTATTCTGGCTCGAAACTGCTTCTCCAATCACTTAAACGCTGTTTACCAAAATCCTCGTGAAAAGGGGTTGTTGCTACTTAGAATACCGAAGACGGATGGTGTCCTTCGAACGAGAGAGATTTCAATTTTATTCGTTTCCTTCTTCATTTTCCCCCGGTTTTCCTTTTTTTCCCTCTCGACACTTTCGCGTGGTTGCCTCGCGTGTCGATGCACCGCCGCTCCATTGAAAAGCAATGAATTCCTTCACCGGCAGCGATCGAAATCGCGTTAAAAACGCGGCGAATTTATCGACGTTCACGGCGACCACCACGGCGCAACCCTGACATCGATTCCACCTCCGTTGGTCGCCGTGTTGACAGAGTGATTTCGTAATACAAATAGATCCACATAATGGACTACCGCTTTTTTCTTTTTTTTTTCCAACCACCTCCCCCTCCAGTACAACCCTCTCCGCGTCATAGACGGCCGCGCTCTCTTTTCACCGGCCGTGGTTTTACCTTGCGGCGTTTGCACGCTATTGTTGGGTGGGTTCAAGGAATTTACATGTCTAAAAAGTGGTAAATTGCCGTCTTGCATTTGCATGCTCTCGCCGCTTCCATATGATTCATGGCAACGTGCCGCGTGCATCTTTTTTGACAGTCGTCCGGTGTCGTTAATTCGACGCTCGTTTCGTGGAAATCGTCGTGGAACACTCTCATGCAGCCGTGAAAGCGTCTGGGTGTTTAATTGATATTCGAGAAAATAAGAGAACACTCGTGATAATTTTATCACTTCTCGTTGTCAATCCTAGGAAATCGAAAGAAGAGTACAGAAATGTCCAAAAAATTCGACACTTTAATTCTATATTTGCGAGATAATTTCTGCAGGCTGTTGATAATCTGTTTTTGTGTAACAAAGAAAATTCCGTGTCGTTTAAAGGTACACACGTGGATTTTTTCCCCGGTGAAAAATAGGAACACGCGAAAAAGTGCTAGTGCAGACCGTAAGGACGTTGTTTTATAAAAATTTCGAGGAGAATTTTCAAAGAAACACACGAAGGTTGAACAGAGGTTCGCGCGATTCTTTTCTTTCTTTCCAGCCCTTTTAATCGGATATTCGCGGATTACAATAGTCAGCTTTAAATATTCATCGTCGCTGGTCTGTTAGTCGTCTGACTAATGAATTACAAGTTTTTGCCGCGTTTTAATGCCCCACCCTGTCCACCCTACTTTCACATGCTAATGCGTTCAAAGAATTTCGCACGGGTTTCTCACGCCTGTTTCCTGAATTCTTTATGAATTCGAAACTGCGAAACCTCCGCGCTAATTTAACCACCGGTGTGCACGAATAATTAACGATCCGACAGCAACGGTCTGCTTTATCGTAGCTTCGATCGGTTTCGTTATTTCGCGAGATCGGTGTTAGTTTTTTTTCTTTTCTTGCCACCGTTGCTGTTGATTTCGAAAATTGAAAATTATTCCCCGTCCGTAAAATTGCTCTGACCCGACAGAATTACCTTTTGCAATTTCTTGTTAATCGCAGAGCGAAGAGAAGCGAGGGGGAACACCTCGTTGCTTAGAATCGGCGAGTGCGTGTTCACACGCGAAGGCCTCTCTGAAAACAACCATAATGCGGCTCGATAGGAAACTAGCACGTTCCGTTTAGCAGCAAATTATTGTCGTTCTTGTTCTCTAATTTCGGGATAAGTTGTAATTGAAATATCTCAGATCTCCTCGTTGCAGTCGCTGCTCGTATCTGTTACTCGTAAACCTTGTACACGTGACCCATAGGCCACGCTGTGATTCCCTTTTCTACGTCCGTAACGAGAGTACCTGTCGGTCTTTCAATTATTTACAGAAAAAAATGACAAAGTGAATCTTCAATTTTGTAATGCAATTCCTACCCAATTCCTTTTTTCGTGCCCGATTTGAAAATAAAACACAGTCGGTGTGTACAAAAGCAGCTTTCATTTGAAACTGAAATGGAACGAAATGGATAATTATTTGAAAATAAAACACAAACGGTGTATCTTTCGATAGGAATGGAACATTACGCTAAAAGAAATATCTGTGCGGAAGTCGATAAGGTTCTCGCCACCTCTGAAAATCGGACACGAACATTTGCAGTCATCCAATAAATAGGTGCCGATTGTCGTACATGTTTAATTGAGAAATAAAAATTTATTTGAGCGACAAATTTCAAATCGACAACTATCTTAAATAAATTCGATATAAATCTAGGAATAATTCA